ATGAGAAAAAATTACTTTTCATTATATAATATAAATATAAAAAAAAAAATCCACCGGAGAGGATTAGTGTCCAAGTGAAACAAGGAATCTCCCTTTTTAAGAGAATCCAATCCCTAAAGCATCTTTGGTAGAAAACCATTGACGTCTAATATTCCATTCTCTTCTTTTTCTTCTTCTTTTTTGTCGGTATTTTCATTCTCTATTTTATGAGACATGTTTGCCAAGTTGGGAAAGGCACTTGGGTAAAGTACTAAAAGTATATGGATCTATATTTGTCTATGAAATATCCGTGAACGTACGTGATAAATTGTCTTCTCAATTTCTAGTAAAAAGTGAGGAAGAACATTCAATCTAAGCAATGTGATGAAATGATCACCAAATCTTTCTCAAAAATTTTGAAGATAAGATAAAGATAAAAGCCTTTAGCATAAGAATTTCTTTTTGGTAATAGAATTAAGAATCTAACTTTTTCATTTTTAACTTTTTTGCCCCCACACAGAGAATCACCCCTTCTCCCCCCAATATTTATAGGGAAGGGTAAGGTAGCATAGAATGCAAGTTGCAGTGACTAAATCTCTTATTAATCTCTCCAAAATGGCTCAAGTAGGGTCTGTCTCTGCGGATACGACTGAAACATTGAGGCAAGTCCTAAGTCTAGTGGAAGCATTCAGAGCATTCGATGCAGACAATGATGGGGCAATAACGAGTGCAGAGTTGGGTGGGATCTTGTCTTCACTGGGGTACAACGCTAGTGAACAAGACGTGAGGGCAATGATGCAGCAAGGGGACAAGAACAAGGATGGGTTGCTGAGCATGGAAGAGTTTTTGGAGATGAACACCAAGGATATGGAGCTAACTGGATCCCTTTCCAACTCCCTCAGGATTGCTTTTGAAGGTTTTGATTTGGATGGGGATGAGAGTGTCACCGGGGAGGAGCTGTTCCAAGTGATGGCAAATTTTGGAGCGGAGATGTCATTGGAGAATGCCCTGGCGGTTATTGCTTCAATGGATGGAGATGGGGATGGAGCTGTCAGCTTTGAGGACTTCAAACTTATAATCAACTGCGTTCTCTGAAAATATCATCCATACATACATATATCTATGTCCAACTAATACTTCCTTGTAGTAAAAGTTGAAATAATGAAGTTAAGCTCTTCAGAGCATTGTATTTTCTGTCTAAAAATAGTTATAACAAATATTATCCTATTTATATAATATCAAATAAATAAATATATAATAATTTATATAAGTTGTAACTCATTTTGAATTTAAAAAGTTAATAAAAATTGATCCACATCATTTTATAAGATTTTATTATCAATAACGATTATTAATAAATCATTTTTCATAAAGAATTACCAGGAAATCATTTTCATATGTGAACATTCAGAAAATAATGGGGAGTGGGATGAAACGATTCTTCCAATATGGGTGAAGGTGAAACTAAAGCAATAATTTTTAGTTGATTACCATATATAGAGAATGGGGTTATTCTCTACTGTTAAGGTACTGGAAACTCCGAACTCAACTCCAAGGGTGATTCTTCCAATATGGATTTAGTCATTTTGATGTTTTTAGACCAAATCGGAAATAAAATTAACTTCTAGACTAAATTGTCGACGGACCAATAATTAATAAACTGACGGCCCAAAAAAATTAATAAGTTATACACTAAAATGAAATTAAGCCCAATACTCTTACCAGGCACACAGACTGCGGCCAGCCTACGTTTCTAGTTCGGGCTTTAAACTTGGGCTCCGAGGAAAAAGAAGCCCAACTGAATCAGCTCAAAACCCTAGAGTGTACCTTCTTTTCTTCTTCCTCTTCCTCGTCTCGACTTCTCAGGATCTCCCTGCAAAACCTAATTTGAATTCACATTTAGCTGCCATCAATGCTCGGATTTCGTGGTTCTGCCGGAATACTCTCCGACGTCTCTCGTCGGCTTCATCAGACCGTATCGGTGAGTCTCGTTCTTTCCTTTAACCAAACAATCTTTTGCCACATTTCCAGATCTTAGGCGTTTCGTAATCCAGAAGTAATGATCATTATAAACCAATTATTTAGTGTTCTTATTTATGTACCAGTTTTTTGCCCCTAATTGCTGCCTGGCATTAAGATTTGTTGGTTCTATCCTTTAATTCCGCTATTTAGTTTGTTCTGTTGTATTTAGCATCGTGTTAATCAGATTATGAACTGGGATTTTGATGTAATTGGAAATGACAACGAATATTGGCCGGGAAATTGATGGGTTGTTTTACTCTTGTTTGATTCCTCATAATAATAGAAATTCCCAGTAGAAGATTGACTTGAAGCTGTTTGTTTGGCACTTTCTTGTTGCAGTTGCATGGGATACAGGTCCGGGGAATCCGTGTGGGAGGCACAGACATTCCAGACAACAAGCGTCTGGCAGTTTCTCTTACTAGCATTTATGGAATCGGCCCTGCTAGAGCTCGCCAAATTCTCAGTGAGCTCAACATAACCAACAAGCACACTTATGAATTAACTGGAAGAGAACTCAACTCTCTACGTGAATATGTCTCCTCAGCCTATGTCCTTGGAGAAGATTTGGTACCGAATTTGAACTTTTGCATGTTTTGTTTGTTGCTTAATATTTAGAAGGGATTCATGTCTCTAAATTGTTTGGTATTTTGTGTGATTCAGAAGCGATGTGTTAAAGGGGACCTAGATAGATTGATAAATATACAGTGCTATCGAGGGTTCAGGCATCAGGATGGGTTACCTTGTAGAGGACAGCGTACTAAAACCAATGCTCGGACTGTCAAGGATAGGCCACCTGCTTTTCCAGGAGTGAGGAGAACCCATCGGAAGTAGGTTTCTGTCTTCTTTCTGGTTGGTGGTGACTACTTTTTTGCTTTTGCAAATGGGTTCGTTTGTTGTAGTCTGGAGTTGGATTGATCCATGAATTGAGGCTAATTCCACCTTACTCCAAATGTCCATGATATGTTCTTCAATAAAGTGCTGATCTTTTTCTCGTATCATGTTGCATTAACTAGATTGTTAGCTTTCTCTGAAGATTGAATCCAACTTCTGATGAATGATGATGTTTTATTGGTGGTTTATTAGCCATATCTTCTGTCATGGTCTCGTTGTAGCTTCAAGAAAGCTTTAGCATAGATCATGCCAGCTTTATAAATATGCACTGGCAAAATACTGACTTGTAGCGTGATTGATTTGAGCTATACCAGTCTGATTATGCATTCCGCTGTTACAAACTTACAACTGAAAATGTATTCAGATGAAGATCTCTGTGAGAATTTCAGTTTGTTTGGCAATGTTTATTTAAAATTTTAAGAATTCCGGATTCCCAAATAATAGTGCAACGCAACATTTCTTCCTTAAATGAACTCAGAGCAATCAAGCAGATAACTGTAGTGATCATCTAGGCAGTTGTCTTTCGGCATTTGATTTCAATTTTCTATTCAGTTTTAACTGAAACTAATCGTCTAAGCAGTGATCCTTGATTTTGCTCCAATGGTATGCAATGTGCCATTACATTCACTTGCCACAAACTCACTCGGAACCACCCCATATGCTTATAATTGAAGTCATAGAATAATGTTATAAGAGAAGTCTTTCCAAAATGCTTTTAATTTTTTAATATAACTCTTTTTTTTTTTTTTTAACAGAAGGAAATGGTTAAGTAAGTGTTAGTATTTGTTGTATTGTGAGAGGATCAAATCTCAAAAGTGGGTGCAATCCACTTGCTGCCCAAGGAGTAAGGTGGTCACCACTGGACCACATGGAACTCTGTAATTTTTTAATATAACTCTTGTTGAAGCCAAATTGTTGAGATTATACTTAGGGAAATTTTCATTGAATTACTCTCGAGACTTTCTCCAAGTATTAAATTTTAAGAAGGTAAAAAGAGCAAATCAGTCAATGTACTCTTCAATCAGCTTATAAATTATAAACTTTGTTTGTTAATATTGTGTTCTGCTATATTGTGATTATAAATTTTTTTTATTATCTCAAAAGTATGTAAAATAGTAATTAAAATTAATAATGTACATTTTTATATAATATATATATATGTTATTCTTGATTTTGATAGATTTAAAATCAAATGTGAATGAATATATACACTTGGCTTATTTTTAGGTATGTTGATTTGATTTTCATAAATTCTCAAATATGCTATTTGAATATATTTCTTTTCATATTGAAAGTCAAATTAATTATATGATTACCTATTTAATATATTTTCTTTTATGGTGAATTAATAAAAATAGAAATTACATGCTTAGGTTGAGATTCCAACTTTCTAAGGACAAGGTTCTGTTTTGGACATTACCTGCAGGCAAAATTTTCAAGTTCCAACCACGAAATTTTAGGGTGTGGAATCATAAAAGTTGCTGTTTAATGAAGAAAACAGCAGAGGTTCGAATCTTGAAGGCAAGTTCCAACCCCTAATGTTGAAGATTTTGAGAGATTGTAATAAATAATTAAATTGTTAAAGGTGGATAATGTCGACAAAATTATTACAAATGGTTGTTATTACACCTAGAAGTTGAAAGAGAGTTTTTGAATTCAAAACAAGCTCTGGAGCAGACAGCTCGAGAAGTGGATTAGGTATAATGTGCTTGAACTAATATAAATCCTTGTGTTTGAGCTTTTTTTTTTTTTCTATTAACTTTCAATTTTTACATTTTAAATTATTTATTTACAATTGTCTGTAAGTATTCATTATTTTATGTTTAAAAATTGTGGTAAAGTTTTTAAAACCCAATTCACCCTCGCTTTTAGATTGCCATCATTTAGGCCAACAATATGCAATGTGAAAATGTTTTAAAAGTATGATAAAACAAAGCCCATTGTTAAGTGAAAAGAAATTATTACTTTTTTTTGAACGGGTTTACAATTGAGGGCAGGGGATTTGAGCCCTAACTCTTGAGTTGGAAGATGCACTTTATAAGTTGATTTATAGTAGTTGGAATGTAAGGCGCAGATGTTGAAAAAAAATTAGTACTAAACTATTTAAGTTGTTAGAAGAATAAATGTTATGTTAAATTGTTAATAGACTTGGATCTGGATCTTGATATTTGGGCCTTCAGAGGGTTGATAAGAGCCTACTAGTTTGACACAGGCCCGCTGTTCCGCCTGCGGGCCCAGTTCGTCCACCACTGTAATTTGAGATGACCACCAGATTTGAAGAGGGGATAGATAGACTTCGCTGGCCAGTAGCGAGTACAGAGTACACACCTTAACCTTACCCTCCTGTTTGGCTTCCGAGAAACCTCAGGAAAATGGCACAAACCCTGGCACTGCCTGTTGCCCCCTCTCTCTCCCTTATATGCAACAAAACAAGCTCTCTTTCTCTCTCCAACTCCGTCTCTTTCCCAATTTCGATCGCTCCCAAGGTAAATTCGTCTCCTCTTGCATCTTGCTTATCTGTTTCAATTTTCCTCCAATTAGTCTTGTTCTTTGCTTGATTACGTAACGTAACGTAGTAGTCCGTAGCTAGAGCAAAATATAAATGGACAATTTGTTTTTGTTGATCCTGAGTGAAACTCTTCAAGTGCTACAATCGGTTGATAATGGAAAAACTTAGATCGAAAATTGAGTTTCTAAATAATTTTCTATTAGGCTCAATATATAGGATTTTTAATATTTCATAGTCCCATATGTGTTGGAAATTTTAAGTACAATGCTTATGATATCCTGAAAATGAATTGTTAAGGCACTGTTTTTTTGTTACCAATGGTTCTGCCTGGTGATTTTGGTGGAATTTATTTGAAGATTTTTTCTTTTTCCTATCTTTTCCTGGAAATTAAATGGATGATTTGGGGTCTTGTGTTGTCAGCTCTTTTTGATTCTTATCTGTTTTCTGTAGTATCGTGGTCTAAGCATACAATGTGCTCGTATTGGAGGAGTGGAAATTCCAAACAACAAGAGAGTTGAGTTCTCTCTGCAGTATATCCATGGGATTGGTCGCTCCAGTGCTCGAAAGATTCTTTGTGATCTCAACATGGAGAACAAAATCACCAAAGACTTATCTGAGGAAGAGCTCATTACCATCCGTGATGAAGTCTCCAAGTACATGATTGAAGGGGATTTGGTAATTATGCATGGGATTCTCACTTCCAATATATTTTTACACTCTATTTATGTCTCTAAGCAAATTTAAATTTGGAGTTGCAGAGGCGGTTTAATGCACTTGCTATAAGGAGATTGAAGGAGATTCGATGCTACAGAGGGATCCGGCATGTTCAGGGCTTGCCATGTAGAGGACAGCGCACAAGGAATAACTGCCGTACCTTGAAAGGTAAGAGGGTTGCCATTGCTGGAAAGAAGAAAGCTCCTCGTTGATTGAATTGATTGAAAAATCATGATTTCTATTTCACATGAATCAGTGTGTAGCATAACTCAATTACTTTGAGTGTGAAATTTGATGTCTGACCTCGAAGCTGCTTTTGTAATTGGTACTAGATTTCTTTGTTTCACAGCTTATCTGAAATTCTTGGAGAACATATATTACTTATGAGCATATGTTTCTTGTGCAATGAAATTGTCAATGACATATTTGTCACAAACTTTAGTTGAACTTCGTTATTTCGAGAAACTCAGAACTTTGTCCTGTTAGATTAGGAAAGCTAGCAAGTGTCTACAGGTCCTAACTTACACATTGCAAATATGTTCATTGGAGCACAAAATGGTTCTCTGATTAACTGCGTTGTAGCTCAATTAAGCTGTAAGGTGGTCGCAACACCCCATTTCATTGAATATGCAAATTCTCTTTTGAAATTTAACCATTGTGCTACACCGGATTTCTGGATTATGCAAATTTGTCATTACTATTACCTGATATTTCCCTGGAGATAAATTTCCTTCTCTGTTATGTTCCTTAATTGTTAGACAGTTGTTACCTTCTTGGGAACTTGCATGTTTGCCATTGTCTATGCGCCCAAAGATAAATACTTAAGACTGGCTTTGTTCCTTGACTTGTCATTTGCTGCTGCAATTCATTGCTCCATACTTGTGCTCTGCAGCTGTTAGTGTTATTAATCTACTCTTAATTCTTCATTTTTTACATTTTTTACATTTTTTATATGAAATTTCATTTTTAGCCTTGTTATTTAGAACTATCCTTCTAGGATTTTCCCTTTTTTTTCTTTTTTAAATGTTTATGGTAGTCTAGTAGCCTTTAGAAAATGAAAATAATATAGTTACAACATAATATGATATTATAAACTTACAATCAATATGTGTCAATGATTTTTTATTCAAAAATCTACTCATAATATTGTATATCTTTTTTCATCAAATTACATATCAAGGTTATAAATTTATTATAAACTTGCAATCCTAGCATTATAGAGGTTGAGAAAATTCGACATAAAAGGAATTTTCCGGCTAACATTCCTTCCTGGGTTGGCTGTGCAAGTTGTCCGTAGACGGTGAGCATGTTTTATTCGGTTGGGTTGGAGTTGGGTTTGTATCTAAACTTTGGGCTTACTAACTTGTAGCATCTGCTGCTTTACAAAACTTGGAGAGGAAAATACTCTTAGATTGGGCTAATAGTTATTGGGCCAGGTCTGGTTAATGGTTATTGGGCCAAGTTTAGTTATTGGGTATTAACCATCTAGTATTGAGTTAGGTTTGTTTAATAGATACGGTTCAAGTTTCGTTAATGGGTATCTGTTAAAAGATGCTGGGCCAAGCTCAGAGGTCGAATAAAGAATTAGAATCTTGAACCTATACACAACTCAAGTCGTGTTTAGGGCTGCTTTCACACAATATTTTTCACAAAAAAATGAAATGAATGAATGTTGTGAATTATGATACGTATATTTTGTGGGGCCTAAATGATTTATCGATGCCAATTAAAACACGTAGATAAACAGGGTCCCCAATTGTAGTGGTGGCTTGATGATTAACATTGTCCAAAAAGACCAAAACTAACATCTTTCATTCTTGTTTGGGGGAAAAAGATAGAAATTGTATACTATATTCTAAGATGACAATTTATATATATTTTGTGGCGCCCGAATCTCATTCGTTCATTATATTATAACCACAGAATTCAGAAAAACCACTCCTACTCCATCCCTTTACACACGACTTTGTGGAATTTTGATAATTGCCGTTCATAATCAAGCAATAATTCAAAAGGTATGGTGGGTGCTCAAATTATAAAGAGATAAGACTGACAAACAAGTTAAGTAAATAAATAAAAAGGAAGGCCTTATTTTAAACCAAACCTTTTTGAGAAGTTGAGACAACATAATTTGACATTATGTTGCTATGTGGTTGGTTTTAAGACTTACATGAAGAAAAATGTGTTCTCAAGTTTTTTTTTTTAATGATATTAAAACGAAAGAAGAGATTACTGTTCGGTAAGTGTCTCCCTTTGTAGAACCTCATGTTGGGGATGCTATGCCGTCATGGACGCCAATGGACAAAACCCTACCTATTTCCAACTGTGAGGTTTGGTGGGTTTCCCTTCATAGTTTACCGCGTGTCACGAAGAAAAGGCCGCGGCAAGGTTTGGAGGAAAAACAAGAATCGTGTCCTCAATTGCAGTATTTCAGAAGCTTGAGGAAGGCAGTGCTCTTTTGAACCCACGTCTTCACCTCCTATCAAATTCCATGCCAAAAATGCTAACATCTAATATAAAATCAATTGACAATAAATGAAATAGCTTTCATTGTATTTAACTCATAAGTTTTATTATTATATACTTGATATAAGATTTTCTCATTCAATAAAGATGTCATGTCATTTAACAATATATTGTCGAATGAGAAAATTTCACATTAAATATATAATAAATATATATGTTAAATATATAAAAGATTACTCTATATATTACCAATCGATTTTAAATTAAATGTAAGTTTTGTGTAAAAAGTCATAAGCTCAATTTTTACATGATATATATTAGAGCCCAAGCTCCCTTTTTAAAAAGTTTGTTGTTCATTTCTAAAAAACTTATCGTTAACTCACCTAATAAAATGTGAAATTGATTTTGATTATACATGTAAGAAAATCTATTAAACCACGTGATATGATCTAATATCCATAACAAAGTTGTTATATATATTTGTGTTAAATATAAAAAATGTTACTCCACCTACTACCAATTAATACATACTCAATTTTCACATATATAACAACATGATTCGAATTCAAGACATGCGCTTAACTCTCACATCCTTAACACAAACTAGACCGGGGAAAGACAATGTAGCTTAATTGACCTTTTGTAAGTTGTGCGCAATTTTCCATAAAACATGCCCAAGTAGTGTCACCACAAAGTAGAAAACGTACTCGGAAATTTAATATGGCCAACCAAAGCCACCACGCCAATGAATTATGCAAGTATTTTTTTTTTTCTCTACTACAATAATATACACGGCTAGCCTGTCTTTTGAGTATCACCATAGGGACAGTATGATGAGGATTGCAAACCACTTTTCCATGCATTATGTCCATTATTTATAGGTAGATGAAATATTATAATTGCTGTGTATAAAAGTACTTAATTATTTGAAAGACTTTGTCCCCTTGTAAACAGACCTTATGTTAAGTATGATAATGGCTTTTCCCCGACACAAGGCCATACCCCATTTAAGAATCTATTGCAATGCCATGACCAGAAACTGATGGGTCCTATCCGAGATATGTTTGACAATATGTTTCGAGTTTTGGTGTTCCTTGTGTGTTCTTTTCAGTTCTGTTGAGAATCCAGCTATCCATGATGTCAACTTAATTTGATCGAAGCAGGTTTATATCACCTATCTATTTCTAGATATATGACATTTATAAGTAAATAAATCCTATAAATTTAAGTTTGACAATCCAATTCCAAATTACTTGGATTTGCCTATTAATTGTTTGCGACTGCCTCAATAGATGTTGCTTGATCTTCAATAATTCTTGTAACTTTTTGTCCCAAGAATTTTACATAATTTATTATTAATGAAATGGCTGGCATATTTAAAGGCTTCAATCTTTTAGGGTTTTTTTTTTTTCATAAATATTGTGCAGTCTAAGTAAATGCAGCAACTAAAATTATTAATAGGGAAGTATTCCGGAATGTAAAACCTTCCTTCCCAAAATTAATGGCTAAATTTTTTTTTCTCCCCTAACATAAGATTCTGCCATTTACAACTTAAATTATATAAGTTTAATTCGACAGTATTAACCTATAATTGTAATTATATGTTTTTTGATTCTTTAACATCTAAAAAATATATATAATATATTTAATATTTGTTTTAATTAATATTTTATATATTTTTAAAATAATAAAAATATATAAAAATAAAAATTAAGACACCGATTAAAATTGTCAAACAGAAACATATTGAAACAAACTCAACAAGGAGTAGTACTACAATAGAATCACCTTTTCACATGCGACCTAAGCAACATTCCCTGACCAAGGATAACAAAAGCTACCAATAGGATTCAGTTAAGCTGCAATGGTTTTCTTCCAAAGCGTCCCTTGTGAAGGAAAACGTACGTTTTTTGTGCCTTTCAATTCAGAGTATGATATACTTCTGGCAAAGAGAGACGTGTATTTGTCCGAGCCATAAATTAGCTAACTAAATGGTATTGATGAAGTCGGGCAGGGCTTGGCTTGAGTGATTATTTTCCAATGGGACCAACGATAATAAAGGGTTTGATTTGAAGGCAAATATTGTACATACCTACTACTTCTTGCACGTGAAGGTCTCACTCCTTCTTAACTATTTTGTCTCTACAAACTTTTAGTAATTAAGTATCTTTTATTTTCTTGGTTGTATAGAGAATGAAGATGTACTTAAATACCCTTCACTCATATATACATATTGCTAAGATATTTAGTCATTAAGTGTACTTTCTAGAATGAAGTTTCAACTTTGCTTGTCTGTAAGACGAGTTTAAGCTGAATTGAATTGAATTTATTATAATTAACATGCTTTATAGTGTTAGCAAATTGAGGAACAATTATGAGTGACCTTTTTTTAGGGCAACATGGTTGGAGTTCAAGTGAGGATGAGAACATTTTTTTATGACACTTGAGGGAACAAAAGCAAGCCTAACTACACTACAATGTATGGTAATCATGATTAATGGACCTTAATAAAAAAATTGAGGTAAGATACTAAGATTGGGAAATGAAATAGTGGTACTACCACATAAAACACTACAACTGTAGAAGGAATGGGCGGCGATTGTGTCTGAATAAACAAAGACAGTATGTACTGTTTGGTAAAAAAAACATTTGTTTTATTTCCCAACATAAGCCCACAAAAACAGATACGAGAGAGATCTGTCCGTACCCTCTTGTGTTGGGGGGTTTGTTCTTTTCAAGCTATGCTCATTGCCAAGACACGGTGGCAGGCCTAGTTTCCCTCCATTGCACTCTTTTGAGAAACGTGCACGTCCTTTGCTGTTTGGTTCCCTAGAAATTAAATCCCAGAAACAAAATTGCAGGGGAACGGTTTTTGAATTTTTAAGTGTAGGGCACAATTAAATTAGCTAGATGGGATTTTAAATTTGGTACTACCACTTTTACCATTTAAGTGTGTCAAATTAAGGATAAATCCATTCACGTCTTGTCAATTTCATTTTCTGGCCTAAGCAGACTGCCTATAAGCCGTAGGTGGCAACCACACAATGGCACAATGCAAGATACAACTTTCCTCTTTTTTTTTCTTTTTTTTCTTTTTTTTTGTAAACATGAAAAGAGAAGGGGATAATTTAGTCGGTATTACAACCGATAAAATTTTGATATTTGTTAAAAGTTTAATATACCTTAGTTAAGTTGGTAAGCGCAGATACAACAATAATTCAAGTCCATTACTTAAGATAAGAAAAAGCTGCACCTTGCTTAAAAGGCCAATAATTGGCTATAAGCTTTAAAAGAGAACATAGAAGG